GCGCAAGGGCGACTGAGGGGCCCGCGACGACGACGACGAGAGCCGACGGGCACGAAGCGCCCCGAGCATGGGGACCCTCTGATCACGTTCCTGAGTAGCACGCGCGAGGGCAAGTCCTTCCCGCCAGAGGTCTGGTCCGCTTGGGGGAAGACGTGGGCTTGGACGACCGCGGCGTCCTGGGCCCTCGGCACCGGCGGGAGAAGTCTCGGCTCGGCTACGGCATGGGCATATGCTGGGAGACCCTGGCGAGGTTAATCAACGCGCGCGCCCGTCGCGACGCGCGGCGCCTGGGCGCGCCCTGCGTTTACTTGTCGGCCGTGAACGAGTGCAGCTCGATTCAGGGCGATGCCGACGCGGGTCGGCGCCTCGTGAACGCCCCGAACATGCGCGCGACAGGAGACTTCCACGGCGCCTTGCCGGCCCACGCCGGCACGGGGTTGCGCTTCACGGCCGCGCAGGAAGAGCTGGAGAATATGTTGGGACTCGCGCAGCAGCAATGGGCCACCATTGTGTCCTTCGAGTTCCACCGCGAGGACGAGCAGCGGCACGAGGCGCTCGGCGGGCCAGCTTTCGCCCCCGCGTCCTACCGCAGGGGATCTGGCTGCAGGTGCACGGCTTCAACGAGTCGCCGATCTACCAAGAGGTCGCCGAGGTGCTGCGACGGGGCGCCGAAGACGCCGACGACGACGACCAGGCCGAGGTGCGGGCGCGGAGCTCGCTGATGCTCAGGCCCAGCGAGCAGGAGTTCCAGTGGCAGAGCTCGGGGCCGCGCGCCGCTCGGGGTTCACCCTGGCGCGCGCGCGCGCCCCGCCTGACTTTCACGCTGTTGCAGGGCCAGGCGCTGCGCAAGGGCGCCACCATCGACTGCGCGAGAGACGAGGACGCTGGCCGCGCGGGCATGTCGGACGAGCAGCGGTGGCTGCGCCTCTACGTCATGTTCCCCCGCGCCACGCGCACGCGGAACACGCTGATCCTGCGGCCGCCGCCGCGAGAGCTCCTGGAGCGAGGCCCGCCAGCGTCCTTGCGGAAGGAACTCGAGGAGTTCGACGCCAGAGCGGAGTGGTCCAGGGCGGAGGCTGAGCATCTCGCGGCAGTGCTGAGCTTCGTGTTGCCTCCCGCTTGAGCGCGGTTGCGCCCCGCTCGAAGCCCGCGGGGTTGTCCCAGCGGCTTGGCCTTGCGCGCCAGCGGCTCGCGCGGTTGCCCCGACGTCCTGGCCCGCGGGGTTGTCCCAGCGGCTGCGCGACGTGGCGATTAGAGAACGCCCCCGCGCTGGTCGAGGCGGCGACGGCGCGACGCAAAATCGACGCGCGCGCTCATGCAATAGATCGGGGAGGGCGTGGCGGGGCACGAAAAGACAGGAGGGCGAGGATGGGGGAAACGTATGGGGGCGGGAGGAGGGCCTGCGCCAGGGCGAGAAGAAACATACGCCGACGAGACAGCAATGATGCCTCACCAATCACGAGGCCGATGGTGAGGTTTTTTTTCCAGATTCGCCGAGAGGATTACTATGTGGGGTCTACTCCGTCGGAGTCATTCCCCCCTCCTGCGTTGGATTCTCGTTTTGACTGGAGCACTGTGGTCGCACACCTCCTGCCTACTTTCCTTCCCGCCCCTTCTTCCTTTCTTTCCTGCATGTCACCTCGTTCTCTCCTGCGTGCCAGCTTGCCTCCTACCTGGCCATCCCTGTGGGCGCTGCGATCTGCGGAAGGGTCATCACTTTCGACGGCTGCTTGCTGCCGGTGGGTCCGGCGGAGTGACGTCTTACCCAGACTCAAATGAGACCTCGCCGTCCCAGGGGGGGTTACGATTTGTCAAGGTGTCGCCACGTTCGAGGGTTGCTGGGGCGTCTAGCGGAATGACGTCCTACCCAGACTGAAACAAATCTTCGCCATCCCCGGGGGGCTGCGATCAACGATACGTTGCCATTTTCGAATGCTGTTGGGGGTCCAGCGAGGCGACGTCCTACCCATGCTCAAATGAGACCTTGCCATCCCTGGGGGGGGGTGCGGTTTGCGAAACAGTTTCCACTTTCGAGGGCCATTGGGGTCCAACGGGGTGACGTCCTACCCAGACTGAATAAGACGTCGTCCTCCATGGGGGGTGCGATCTGCGTAAGATTCGCCACCTCGAAGGCTGCTGGGGAGTCCAGCGGAGTGACGTCCCACCAAGACTCACATGAGACGTCGCCATCCATGGGGGGTTGTGACTTGCGAGTGCCAATTCGATGGTTACTGGGTGTCTCATGAGGGTGACGTCCAACCCCGATTAAAACTGAACCTCGCCATGCCTGCGGGGTTGCGATCTGCAATCTCGTCTCCAGTTTCGAGGGTTGCTGGGGGTCCTGCGGAGCGACGTCTTGCCCAGCGCCACAGGAGGCCTCGCCATTCTTGGCGGGCTGAGGTCTGCGAAACCGTCGTCCTCTTCGAGGGTTGCTGGAAGGTCCAGCAGAGTGACGTCCTACCCAGACTCATGCGCGAAACCCGCCATGCTTGGGGGGGTGCGATCTGCGAATCCGTGGCAACGTTCGAGGGCTGCTGGGGGACCGAACGGAGTGACGTCTTACCCAGAGTTAGGTGAGACATCGCCATCCTTGGGGGGGTTGCGACCTGCGAGTGCGGTGCGTTTTCGAGGATTGCTGGGGGGTCCGGCGGAGTGACGTCCTACCCAGATTCAAATGAGACTTCGTCGTGCTTGGGGGGGCGGCGATCAGCGAACGTGTCGCCACGTTCGAGGGCTGCTGGGGGATCTAGCGAAGAGACGTCCTACCCAGACTCAAACGAAACCTTGCCATCCTTGGGAGTTGCTCTCTGCGACACTGTCGCCACTTTCGAATGCTGCTGGGGGGTCCAGCGGGGTGACGTCCTACCCAGACTATCGAATGAGACCTTATCATCCCTGGGGGGCTGCGGTTTGCGGAAAAGTTTCCACTTTCGAGGGCCGTTTGGGGGGCAGCGGGGTGGGGTTCAGCGGGGTGACGTCCTACCCGGACTCAAATCAGACCTCGTCCTCCCTGGGGGGGGGTGCGATCTGCCAAAGAGCCGCCGTTTTCGAGGGCTGCTGGGGGGTCCAGCGGAGTGACGTCCCACCCAGACTTTATGAGACGTCGCCATCTTTGGGGGGCTGCGACTTGCGAGTGCCAATTTCGAGGGCTACTGGGGGTCCATCGGGGTGACGTCCTACCCAGACTCAATGAGACCTCGCCATCCTTGGGGGGCTGCGATCTGCGAATCCGTCGCCACTTTCGAGGATTGCTGAGGGGTCCGGCGGAGTGACGTCTTACCCAGCGTCAGATGGGACCTCGCCATACCTGTGAGGTTGCGATATGCGAAACTGCCGTCACTTTCGAGGGCTGCTGGGGGGGTCAGAACGGAGTGACGTCCTACCTAGATCCAGATGAGACCTCACCATACCTGGTGGTTGCGATCTGCGAAAGCGCCGCCACCCTTCGAAGGCTGGGGGGTGTCGAGCGGAGTGACGTCCCACCCAGACTCACATGAGACCTCGCCATGTTTGGGGGGCTGCGATCTACGAAACTGTCGCCACTTTCGAGGGCTGCTGGCTGGGGCATCCAGCGGGGTGACGTCTTACCCAGCGTCAGATGGGACCTCGCCATCCCTTGGGGGGCGGCTGCGATCTGCGAAACCGTCGTCACCTTCGAGGGCTGCTGGCGGGGGTCCAGCGGAGTGACGTATGACACATATTCAGATGAGACTCCGTCATCCTTGTGGGGTTGCGATTTGCGAAAATTGTCGCCACCTTCGAGCTTTCGAGGGCTGCTGGGGGGGGTCGAGCGGGATAACGTCCTACCCAGATCCAGGTGACACCTCGTCATCCCTGAGGGTCGCCGTTTTCGAGGGTTACTGCGGGGCCCAGCGGGGTGACTTCTTACGCTGGCCACATGGTGACCTCGCCATCCCTGGGTGGTTGCGAAGTTGGCGGGCGAGCGAGGCGATGCTCGTTTCTTGCACTTACTATAAGCAGGTTTAATGATTTTCCCGAGCGCCGCGGCGACATGGCGCAGGTAGCGTTGCATGTTTTGCGTACTACCGAAAACGCATCATTCTACGGCCTCCTCCCGTCACTTTCGTCGTCGTCGTCCTCTGTGTTTTGTCACCTTCCTTCTGCTGTTGCCGCGCTGACGGTTCGGCCCCCCGTCAGTCTTTTTGTTGCCTTTCGTGTCCGCCCCCCCCATGTCCTCCTCAAGCTCGGGTCCTCGCTCTTCGTCCATTTCTGTTGTCCTGTGAATCGTGCCACGCGAACACACCCCATGTAGCTTGCACAACATATAACGGCGCCTGCAATGCCATTGTCTTGGCAAGTCTGGACCAACCTTTCTTGTCACTTGATGCGATTGGGTTGGGTACGTCACAGGGTAATGCCATACCAAAGCTGACTTGGTAGGTAAAGTCTGGGTTTCGATGCACTGCCCTCTTACCTAGAACTCACCTGTTACCCAGTCGATATTGCTGTTTATCTTTCGACCGACTCCGCTTTCGGCTTATCAGCCGAGTGGGGGCGGGTTGGAATGTAGCGCTCCGACTGGTTGAGCAGGGCGATGCAGTTAGAGGGACGCCCACCGGATTTGATAATACGTCGGGATATTATTTACACGCGACATTTGGCTAAATTGCCATTCGCCTTATCGTGAGAAAGCTCCTGCCAGGTTTACAGGAGGACGCAGACGAGGATGAATCGTATGGGTTGCGATGAATGTAACCGTCTCCCTTGCTATATAAGTTTGTTCAGGTCAAATAGGGGACGGTTGCCAATGAACCGTTCGTGAGGGAGAAGGTGATACGCAGGTGGGTGGCAGGAGGCTTTTTCTGGTGCTTCCTTTTCATGTGTTACAGGTTGTCCATGTCTATTTTCCCGCTGTTCTACTCGTTCTCGTGCTCCCATTCTTCCACAGTCTCTTCCTGGCACCGCCTGAGGAGCTGTATTTTCTCAAGTGCGCAATGCCAGCTGCCGCCGCCACCGTGTCAGGCAACCTGGTCGCCAACATGGAGGGCACGTCTGTGGCGGCGGCTGAGGATGTGCTGGGGAATCTGTCGGCCGATGTGAAGATTCTGGCTGCCAAGGGCTTGAACAACAGGGACTGGCTGGGCAAGTCAGATCCGTATTGTGAGCTGTTTGTTGGTGGCGTGAGCAGGGGGCAGACTGAGGTTCGGTGGAACAACCTGAGCCCGCAGTGGGACAAGGGCTCCATCACGATTCGAGGCCTGCGCCCGGGAGACGAGGTCGAGTTCAAAGTCTGGGACGACGACAGGCTCCTGCCTGGGATGAGCCAGGAGAGAAACCGAGAGAGCCTCGGCTCGTGCAAGCTGCCGCTCCCCGCCGCGGGTGAGAAGAAGGACGAGTGGTTGCAGGTCGAGGGCGCGGCAGAGGAGGTCGGAGATGGCGAGCCCCCGCACCTGCACGTAGCCGTGGAGGTGAGATCAGACGCTGCGACCGGGCCGATGACTGAGCCAAACGCCGACGCCAAGACAATTGCCAAGCTGGCAGCCGAGGATGTGCCTGGGAATTTGTCGGTCGATGTGAAAATCCTTGCTGCCAAGGGTTTGAAGAATAGGGATTGGATGGGCAAGTCAGATCCGTATTCAGCTGCCTGCGGCAGGTCCCGCCACCGTGGCAGCCCAGCATTTTGCGTGGCGACTGCTCGTGGGGGTGCATGAGGCCGTCACTTGTGACGCCTCGTGTTCCCAGGCTTGGGAGGGCCTCAAAGAGGATGATGACTATGAGTGTGATGGGGATGCAAATGACGATAACGATGGGGACGAGGAGCATGATACTGCTGATGATGATGATGATGATGATGATGATGATGATGATGATGATGATGATGATACTGATGATACTGATGATACTGATGATACTGATGATACTGATGATACTGATGATACTGATGATACTGATGGTGATGGAGATGAAGCTGAATATGAAACATGACGATTGATATGTCGGTGGTCATGTTGATGACGATGGTGCGTCTGCTGATGATGACAATGATGAGGATGCTGTGTTTGATGATCATGATGATGCTGATGATGATGATGCTGCTGGGGGGCATGATGATGTCGAGGCAGAGAAGTTGGAGAAGGAGGCTGATATTGGTGATGGTTGAGATGCTGCTTGTTGTTGGTGATGATGCTGAGTGTGAGTATTAGGATGAGGATTATGCTGATTATGCTGATGATATCGATGACGATGATTACGATGCTGATTATGGTGATGGTGATGGTGGCGATGTCGATGACAATGGCGATGGTGATGATGATGATGCTGATGATGATGCTGCTGATGATGTCGATGATGATGTGGTGGTGGTGGTCGTGGTGGTGGTGGTGGGGGGGGTGGTGGTGGTGGTGGTTGTGGTGGTGGTGGTGGTGGTGATGATGATGATGATGGTGGTGGTGGTTGTGGTGATCATGATGATTATCAAGAGGATACTGAGGAGGAGGAGGAGGAGGAGGAGGAGGAGGAGGAGGAGGCGCAGGAGAGCAGCGTGTGGAGGAAAGGGAAGGCCTTCACATGTGACATCCTTCGTCCTCACATCTTGAAGAGCTTACATGGCACATATTTGGGCTGTTTTTGGGGTTGCCGTGGCCTCCTGCGGGGCAAACCTGGGGGTTCTCCTGGGGCGTCTGCGGCCCCTCGTGGGTCGTCTTGGGCCCCTCTTATGCCATGAAGGGGCTATCTTGGGCTGTCGTTCAGCCCTCTTGGCCGTATGGGGCTGTCTGGGGGCCGTCGTGGGGCCGTTTTGATGCCATGTCAGGCCGCCCCAGACGGGCCCACGGCGGACCAACAGGCCCCAAGGATCGTCCCAAGATTGCCCCAGAGGCGCCCCAGAGGGGCCAGCACGGCCCACGATGACCCCCAGACGGCCCAAGGGGGCCCCGATATTGCCAAGAGGGCCCCCAGAGCCTTAAGAGAGTCCATGCGGGCCTGAAGAGGAGGAGGGGGAGGAGGGGGAGGAGGAGGAGGATGAGGAGGAGGAGGAGGACGCCGTGACTCAACAAGCTCTTCCCACCAGGGCTCCCAACAGAGAGCGGTGACGTAAGACGCGCTTACCAGCAAGGTTCCCACGCATGAGCCGTGACGCAACCGACCCAGTAGCAACACAGGGGGATCTCCGGGGAGGGGGGAGAAGGAAGAAGACTGAAATTGAAGAGGTGGAGGCGGAGGACGGAGTAGACGTGCGACATGACCACCACTATGTTGCTATTGGGTCCGCAAGCGGCGGCGGAGGATGAGGAACATGATGACCATGAGAAGTTGCACTCGGGAACCGCCTTCCTACCCAGTATCAACACAGGGACACACCGCGACACAATCGTACGCAATATCAACATAATGTGTCGTGAGACCTCGAGGTAAAAGTGCGACATGACCACCACTGTGCTGCTACTGGGTCCAAAGGAAGAGGAGGAGGAGGAGGAGGAGGAGAGGAGGAGGGGGAGGAGGAGGCGCATGATGGCCATGACAGGTTGCACTCGGGAAGAGCCTGTCGACCCAGTAGCAACGCAGGGAGATCTGGGGGAAGGATGATGGTGAGGAGGAGGATGAGGAAGAGGGGGAGGAAGAGGACGAGGAGGGGGGAGGTGGCGAGGAGAGATGAGGAGGAGAACGAGGATGAGAACAAGGAGATGGAGGAAACTGACGAGGACGAGGGAGGATGAGGAGGAGGAGGAGGAGGCGGAGGCGGAGGCGGAGGAAGAGGAGGAGGAGGAGGAGGAGGAAGAGGAGGAAGGTTCCCAACTGAGAGCGGTGACGTAGCACGCGCGTACCAGCAAGGCTCCCAAGAGCGAGCTGCGACGTAACAAGCTCTTACCACCAAGGCTCCCAAGAGCGAGTGGCAACGTGAGCATCTCTGGGCACGAGGTCTCTGAACAGAGAGCGGTGACGTAACAAGCTCTTTCCGGCACGGCTCCCAACAGAGAGCGGTGACGTAAAACGCGCTTGCCAGCAAGGCTCCCAAGAACGAGCGGTGACGTCACAAACTCTTACCACCAAGGCTCCCAATAGCGCAGGGTGCCATGAGCCCTCTCGGGCAGGTTGCTGCACCGCTCTTTCCGTTCCCGCGCCGCCCCAGGTAACAGAAAGAGCGAGGTACGAGTGATGACGTTGTGGTTGGGCGAAGCCCTCTAGGGAGGCGTCCGGGGGAGGGGGGAGGGCCGGAAGGATGGGTGTTCATGGCCGCTCGGGGCGTCATGGAGGCCTCTTGGGCGCTTCTTGGGCCGTCTTGGGCGCTCAAGACGGTCCAGGAGGGGTCCAAGACGGCCCAATATACCTCCAAGACGGCCCAAGAGCGCTCCAAGAGAGCCCAAGACCGCCCAAGACGGCCCAAGAGGCCTCCAAGACGCCCCAAGAGGCGCCAAAGAGGCGTCCCAAAAGGGCCTGAAGAGGCCAACATCATTGATTTGCCATAGGGAGACGTGCATTTTGAGCATACGCTACTTTTCGACCTCCACGGCGTCGACGACGGCCCAAGAGGCCCCCCCAACCGCACCAGGACGGCCCAAGAGGCTCCCAAGATGCCCCTAAAACGGCCAGAGAGGGCCCCAAGACGGCCCAAGAGGCGCCCAAGGCGGCCCAAGAGGGCCCCAAGACGGCCCCAAGAGGGGGACCGCGAACCGAAAAGTCTAGCCAATCGCCCCCAAAAGCTCCCAGGAGGCCCCGAGAGGCCCCCAAGAGGCTTCCCAAGAAGCTCCAGGAGGCCAACATCATTGATTTCCCATAGGAAAACATACATTTTTAGCATATACGGCTTTCCGGTTTTCACTGGGTTGACGACGGCCCAAGAGGCCCCCCAAACCGCCCCAGGACGGCCCAAGAGGTTCCCAAAACGGCCCAAGAGGCGCCCAAGACGGCCCAAGAGGGCCCCAAAACGGCCCCAAGAAGGGGACCACGAACCGAAAAGTCTAGCCTCTCGCGCCAAGAAGCTCCCAGGAGGCCCCAAGAACCGCCCAAGAAGCCCCAAGAGGCCCCCAAGAGGCTCCCAAAAGGGCTCCAAAGGGTCCCCAACAGGACCCCCAAGAAGGCCCAGAGACGCCAAATAAAGAGCGATCGGTAACGCAAAGAGCTCTTCACACCAAGGCTCCCAAGAGCGAACGGTGACGTAAACAAGCTGATAAGACCAAGTTTCCCAGCAGAGAGCGGTGACGTAACAAGTTCCTGACACCAAGGCCCAGCCAAGGCTCAGGAACGGGCGGCAACGCAACAATCTTTGCGCACCAAGGCTCCCAAGAGCGAGGGGTGACGTAACAAGCTCTGAACACCAAGGCTCCCAGTACGAACGGTGGTGTGAGTAGTTTCGTTTCTGTTTCTGAAGCGCTCTTTCCGTTTCTGTGCCGGGCCAGGTGACGGATAGAGCGAGGTACGAGTGAGTTCCGTTGAGTTGGGGCGAAGCCCTTAAGGGGGGTGTCCAGAGGGGTGGCGAGGGCCAGGGGCACGTCTAATGGTCCTATTTTGGGGGTTTCCCCTATGTTTTTGTATGTTTTTCGGGTTCACTTTTTTCCCGTCCCAGAAGAGCCCAAGACCGCCCAAGACAGCCCCAAGAGTTTCCAAGAGGCCCCCAAGAGGCGTCCAAGGGGCGTCCCAAGAGGGCCCCAAGAGGCCAACATTTTTAGCATCTACGTTTTTTCGGCTTTCACGGCGTTGACGCTGGCCCAAGAGACCACGAGACCGCCCCAGGACGGCCCAAGAGGCTCCCAAGAGGCCCCCAAAACGTCCCAAGAGGGTCCCAAGACGGCCCAAGAGGCGCCCAAGACGGCCCCAAGAGGGCCCCAAGACGGCCCCAAGAGGGGTACCACGAACCGAACAGTCTAGCCTTTCGCCCCAATACGCTCCCAGGAGGCTCCAAGAGCCCCCCAAGAAGCCCCAAGAGGCCCCCAAGAGGCGTCCCAAGAGGCAACCAGGAGACCAAAATCAATGATTTTCCAAAGGAAAACATACATTTTTAGCATACACGGCTTTTCGGTTTTCACGGCGTTGAAGACAGCCCAAGAGGCCCCAAGACCGCCCCAAGACGGCCCAAGAGGCTCCCAAGAGGCCCCCAAAACGGCCCAAGAGGGCTCCAAGACGGCCCAAGAGGCGCCCAAGACGGCCCAAGAGGGCCCCAAGACGGCCCCAAGAGGGGGACCGCGAACCGAAAAGTCTAGCCATTCGCCCCAAGAAGCTCCCAGGAGGCCCCAAGAGGCCCCAAGAAGCCCCAAGAGGCCCCCAAGAGGCCCCCAAAAGGGCTCCAATTGGACTCCCAAGAAGGCCCCACATAAAGAGCGATCGGTACCGCAAACAGCTCTTCACTCCAAGGCTCCCAAGAGCGAAGGGTATCGTCAACAAGCTGAGAAGACCAAGGCTCCCAGCAGAGAGCGGTGACGTATCACGTTCCTGACACCAGGGTCCAGCCAAGGCTCAGGAACGGGCGGCAGCGCAACAATCTCTGAACACCAAGGCTCCCAGGAGCGAGGGGTGACGTAACAAGCTCTCAACGCCAAGGCTCCCAATACGAAACGGTGGTGCGAGTAATTTCGGTTAACTTGTTTGAGGCGCTCTTTCCGTTTCCGTGCCGGCCCAGGTCTATTGGCCGTCTTGAAGCCATATTGGGCCGCTTTGTGGAGATCTTAGGCCGTCTTCGAGGTATCTTGGTCCACGTGGGTTGCCTTGGTTGCCTGCCTGGGCCGTCTTGGAAGCCAGGGGCGCAGAGACATAGCGGTTTGTTTGCGAGGGATCGTGGCTTCGGGAGCGCAGGCCCACGGTTTTGTTACGGGGGATCGTGGCCTCGGGAGGGGGGAGTGATGCATGCTGAAAGTGTGCTACACCTTAGGCGATGTTTAAGAAAACTTGAACTTTCGGCCAGAGTCTCGATTATTCTGAATGTTTCAATGTAAATCCTAAGATTTGAATAGAAATATTGGGTTGTTATTCAAGTTCTGAGACTATGAATTTCTTAACCCATGATTTCTTAAGCATTTCGCAGGGCGTACTTCGGGGGGGCGGTCCTGAACTAGAGTACAGAAACATTACCAGACAACACTTGGCATTCTGCCACGCCTCAACGTGCCAGGGGGCAAGGTGGCGGATTGTGAGCTGTTTGTTGGTGGCGTGAGCAGGGGGCAGACTGAGGTTCGGTGGAACAACCTGAGCCCGCAGTGGGACAAGGGCTCCATCACGATTCGAGGCCTGCGCCCGGGAGACGAGCTCGAGTTCAAAGTCTGGGACGACGACAGGCTCTTGCCTGGAATGAGCCAGGAGAGAAACCGAGAGAGCCTCGGCTCGTGCAAGCTGCCGCTCCCCGCCGCGGGTGAGAAGAAGGACGAGTGGTTGCAGGTCGAGGGCGCGGCAGAGGAGGTCGGGGATGGCGAGCCCCCGCACCTGCACGTAGCCGTGGAGGTGAGATCAGATGCTGCGACCGGGCCGATGACTGAACCTGAAGCCGACGCCAAGAAAATTGCCAAGCCAGCAGCCGAGGACGTGATGGCAAAAGCCGAGCAGGGCGTTCCCAGCTCGCCTGTAAGTTCTGCGCCCACGACACCTGTTCCAAGCGGCATGCACGTCCCTAGAGCGACGGCCGACCGGGTGTTGATGCGGAGGGGGAACAAGGAGTTCGGAAGAACCGCGCTGAACCCACATGTCCCTGTGGAGGAGGCGCAGGGGGAGGAGGAGCAGGAGGAGGAGGAAGAAAATAATCACCACGGCGAGGAGGAGGAATGGCAGGGGTAGGAGGAGGGCCGCGAGTTCGTGGGGATTCCAAAGTCCGAAGGTCGTGTTGGCCCTGAAGAGCAGGGCCGCGGCTACGTGCCGCTTCTGCGGGAACAGCTCGATGGATGGCTGCTTCGGGCGCTACTGTCACTGGGAAATCCCGGGCAAGAGGGCCGAATACAAGCGGGTCCCAAGAAGTGCATGGGCGTGATGAGCTGCGTGCGCCCGGCGCGCCAGGCGGCGGGTGAGGCAGGGGTGCCGGGACCTCTGCGGCGATGACGACATCGCCCGGCCTTGCTTGGAGCTGCTCGCGCCGCCAGGGCCAGCTGCTCGTGCGGCGCCCCGCGTGCTGGCGGCGGGCCGGCGGAGCGGCCTGCCCACGGCAGTCGGAGCCTCGGTGTGTTTTGTTTGGAGCCTTGCTCGCTGGGCGAGGCATCGGCAGCACTCGGGGGCAACGTTGAGGGGGATGCATCGGCCCCCAATCGCTCAGCCATCCCCGAGTTCGGGAGCGGAAAAGAGGGGGGTGATGACTAGGGGGGGGGCGATATCATGGCGGGGGCCACGATATGTCCCCCAGATTTCATGGCGCCCCTTCTTATTCCATCACGTCCCTGGCCCCCCCGCTGGGCCGCGCACATGCCGCCGGTCATGATTTGCACCACCCCCTCTCTTGGACACCCCCCTCTTTGCCGCTCCCGACAAGTGAGCGGCGCAGAAGAACGGGTCCGTCTTCGCCGACACTGGCAAGGAAGCAGCCCGCGTCAGGTCGCGCGCCAGCGCCCGTCGTCTCCAGTGCGGCGTGCCGCGCCCGCGGCCCGCGCAAAAGCCGCGGCGTGAGGGGTCGCCGTGCCATCTCGCGCAAGACTCCTTTCTTCAGGAAGGGGAAAACACACACACAGACACAATTAATCGGCGGTTCCCAGAAAATATGGGAAAATGATATGCGAAGTGGGGGGGAAGACAGGAGCCCAGAAAATATGGGAAAATATGGGGAATATTTTTATTTGTGTGTATTTATTTGTGTCCCAGGGCCCCTTCATTTCTGTTCGTCGCTCCAGTGGAGCCCAGTAGCCCACTCCGCCCAGGAGCGCTGGGTTTGTTATCGGGGGCCTATCGCCGATCTACCGGCGATGTATCGCCGATTCCAGGTCGATGTCTCCCAGTTCCCCAATCTCGCCCCTCCTCAACCAGCAGCAGCCCCACCGCCATGCTGTTATCACGATGCGTGGTAGAATTCTGCCAGGGGGGAGGCAGTGGGGAGAGAAGGAAAACAGGAGGGGAGGATTCAGTTCTTGCTGCCTCGCATGTCCGTCCTCCTCGCCAAGCCTTCTTTAATTGCTCTCTCCGCGGTAACCCGAAGTGCCGAGGCATGTACACACGCCGACTGAGGCATGCTGGGGGTGCTCCCACTGGGTCTGTGCCCTCTGGTAGCCCTGCTTCTCGAGGGCCACAGCATCGCTCCCCCGGGCGCGGCTGTCAGACAAAGATTGCGCGCAGTTACGGTCGAAGGCTGTGTGTTGAGACTGGCTGAGGCGAGTCATGCACATACACCGATTTCGGTCATGTCCAGCTTGGTCCCAGGGTTTGTGTATATGTAGTCCTGGCACAGGAGGGCGTATGCACCGATCCCAGGCCCAGGATGGACCTGGTCAGGATCGCAGCAGTCCCTTCACATCTGCACTGCCGGTTCGGCGTAGCACCTTCACAGGTGCCTCGCTCAAGGGGTGCCCCATCAAGGCATTTTTTCGGCCCCAGCGCGATTCCGTTTGGAATTGGATGCGGGCGAAGGTCCGAACGAGTACATTAGCCGAGAGACGATCCGCAAATTCATCGGATAGTTCGGAGACCCGTTAGTCGGGCCAGAGAGCCCTCGAAGGTCCCGCGCGAGGGCGCCCCAGCCGACCAACCCCGGATGTCCCCGAGATACTCTCATGCCTCCTTCCCTGAGCAGTCCTCGAGCAGACTCCGAAAAGCCCCGTGCCAGGAGGCCATGACTAAGGCCCCCTCACAGGCATCGCGGGATGCCCCCCCGACTTTGTTGTGACGTCGTTGTGACGTCCGCTTGTCCTGGCGCTTCGGATTTGTCCTCGAGGGTAGAGGAGTGGAGTCATCGATTGGAGGTGGTTGCGGTCGGTTCGTGTCGTGTTGTGACTGATCTCCAGATTTTGCGTATTAGGTTTAGCATTTGAGATCATTACCTTGATCGTCCTACCGAGTTGCAGTGTGTGCTTGGTGTACTGTTACCCTCTCTGGCTCAAGCCCAAAAACGTTCATCCAATCCTGTGCTGCCACAGTTGGTAGCGGAGCGCGGAGTCGCTCGGGGTGCCATGGGCGCGAGCCAGGTCCGCGCCCGAGGGGCGTGACCGGCCGGCGTTCGCGTGCTCCCGAGCGGTCGCTGCGCTCGGCCGACTGCGACGCGTGGAGATCCACGGTGGACGCCATGACGGGCGTCGAGGATGAAGATGCAGAGAAGGGGGCCAACCTACACGTGAGTGCGGGGACGGACGAGGCTGCCGTCACTAGGGGCGAGCTCAGAGGACTCATCGGGGACATCGTCAGGGCGGCGATGCAGGAGCAGTCCAGGAGCTCGAGTGCTGCAGCAGCGTCCAGCTCCGCGGCCGCTGGCAAGCCGGATGAGAAGAGCAAGCCCGACGAGAAGGGCGAAGATCCGTGGCAGAGCTCGGATCCGTGGACAGCCAGTGGCAGAGAGAGTTGGCAGAGTCGGTGGTGGCAGGCCGACTCAGGGACCGGCTGGGAGGATCGGCAGCCCGATCTGAAGGACAGCTGGCAGAAGGACTCAGGCTGGTCTCACAACACCGCCTGGACCCGCGGGACCGCCTCCCCGACTGGCCGCCTGGTCTGGCAGCTGGGCAGGAGGAGGCGGCGCCTGGTCCAAAGGAGACTACTCAGACCCACCGGCGTGGCCGGGATGGGCGCACTTCAGAGCATGGAAGAAGTCGCTCAGACGTTGGAATGCGAACACCGACGTACCCGTCTGGCGTCGCTCCGAGAAGTTCCTTCGTCTGTTCGACTGGGCCTTCCAGGCCAAGTTCGAGGACATCCAGGAGCATCGTCTGACCGACGACGGGTGGATCGACACCGTGCTCGGCCGCATGGACACCATGGCGGGCGAGCGTGAAGGAGATGACCTTCGCCGCGCGGGTCGTCGAGCCTTCTTCGAGGCCAACCGCGAGGCGAAGGAGTCGCTGATCCAGTTCGTCATCCGCCGCGATGCTCAACTACAAGAGGCGGAAGGACACGATCTATGGATGTCGCCCAAGCTGAAGGGCCTGCTCTTGGAGGAAGGCGCTTGCCTGTCCGCCCAGGGCCTCCAGAACTTGAGGACGCTCACCCTTGGAAAGCTGGACTACGAGAACGTCTCGTGGGCGCTCAAGCAGATGGACTCCGGCGGCACCGAGCGCCTGCTTCCAGGGCGCGGCGCCGGGGCGATGCTGGCCGACACGACGGCTTCTGAGGGCCTAGGCGCTAGCGAGATGTCGCCTGGTGTTCAGTCCCCCCTCCTCTCTCCTCCTCCCCCGTGGTCGCAGGTTCGGTCAGAGGGTACCGGCGACTTCCCGGCAGAGGACGAGGAGACCTTCTACGACGATGACGATGAGGAAGAGGCCTCGGACGAGGAAGACATCGAGGCTCTGCTGGCCGAGCTCGACGATCTCGACGTGTCCGAAGATCAGGTGGACGAGGTGCTAGCGACGCTCGAGGCCAAGAACACCAGGACATGGAAGCAGAACAAGGAGCTGAAGCGTGCTGCTCGTCAGGACAGGGAGTACTTCCGGCCCGACTCCCGGGCGCCCAGGCCTCCTCGGGCACATCCAGCAGGTCGTCCAGGACGCGGCGGAGGCCGTGGGGACGGCGCTGGCGGCCGAGGCGGACGCGGTCGAGGTGGTCGTGGGTTCGATCGGCGGCGCCTCACGAGGGAGCAGCTGATCAAGGTGACCCGCTGCGGCATCTGCAAGCAGAAGGGTCACTGGCACCGGGAGTGCCCGGAGAAGGATGGACCCAAGGATCGCCGAGCTGTGAAGGATCACGGCCGAGGAGCATCCGCGTACATGTTCTCGGGCATCGTCGGCGAGGTCGGCGGCTCCGAGTTCGTGGCGACGGTAGAGACGGGCGCGGGCAGCCTCCCAGCCTGGGAGCAGGCGCAGCTGGAGATCGAGTCGAGCGCGGTTCTCCTCACCACGTCCGCCACCCAGGGGCTCGTCGACCCAGGTGCCGGCAGCGACCTCGTGGGAGTCGGAGCACTCAACCGAGAGTCTCGAGCCCTGGCGGAGCTTGGGTTGAGGTACGTCGAGATACCTCAGGGCGACCGCCCGCTCAAGGCGGCACACGGCGTCGGTGGAGCCGCGCGCGTGATCAATGTCATTCTCTTTCCGTTGTGCTTAGGCCAGACGTTCGGCATCATAGAGACTACAGTGCTGGCGGATAACGTTCCGCACATTCTCAGCGTGAATCTTCTGGAGTTTCTCGAGGCTGTCATTGATCTGCCCAGGAACAGCATGCAACTTGGGCGCCTCGGTCAGAAGGTGCCCCTTTGCCGTCTCAGCTCAGGTCATCGCCTCGTGGAGATCGTGGGGCCTCTCGACCAAGAGGCAGTGGCGCCAGCAGCCGCGATCAAGAGGTATCCCTTTTTGCGTGCTGACTCGTTTCAGACTGCTGCAGGACAGTTCCCAGAGATGTCGGACGCTGGTGTGGTGACTGGCTACATCCCTATCCTCATCACCATCGTCTTGCTGCTCATGCTGCTGCTGCGGGTCACGAGGGGAAGCTCAAGGGCCAGGACCAGGACTCGGAGAACATCCAGGCCCAGGACTCAGAGCACCAGTTCGATCGTCTACTCCAGGAATCGGGTCGACGTCCAATCGGAGCACCAGGACGACCAATCGAGGGAGCTCCTCCAGTCGTGGGCTCAGCAGAGCCCGAGTCAGGTCTTAGGATCCGGTAGTCAAGCTAAGGTGCAGAGGCCGAGGAGGTCTTCGAGAGGAAGGGTTCCCGAGAGCCCAAGAGGACGGACTGGACTGACTGTCTCCGTGGTAACAGTGGCGGCAGTTGTCTTTTCCGTAGTCCACCTCGGCTCAAGTCTAGCCTTGCTGGTCTTAGCTTTCTCGGTTCACGAATTTCTTGCGGTCCAGCAACAGCGCCTGTTCAGACTCGATGGTCCTCGGAGGGCTGCTCCTGGCGCGGCTGGCCGTGCAT